TAACTTCAAGTGAATAGAACACTCCATCGGCCAAGGTCGCCCTTGCCTGCAGAATTTGAAGTTCAACCCCGGCCCCTCTTTAAACGGGTCTCCGATATCTCGGGCTACGATAATCGCCTTTAGGATACACCCCCCTCCCCCATTACCACCACCCCTACCCACCTCGACCAAGCCCATACCATCATAGCTGGTAGTGGGGGGAGGGGGATAAGAGAGTAAATATGTCTGAAGAACGGAAAACTCTTCAGTTTTTCCTATTTCTTGCTTCCCACATGAAAAATTACCTAAAATCGAAAACTCCTCAAACGTGAAACCCCTCTGCTAGCACCATGATCCTTCAATATTCCAAGAGCACGGCCTTCTTTTTCCACCTTTTGACCTTCAGCAACCCAAAATACGACATCCCCTCCGAAAAACTCGAATACGACCCCACAGAGAACAGCGCAAGGCAAGGTTGACCTGCCAATTTTCCAGGAAAAGAATGCTGTCCAATTCCCTTGCACGATGAAGCCAACTAACACGAACAGTGAGAAACCAATTTACATAGATCTTGAATTTGCGTGTGATTCAAAAATGGCGCATCCCAAGTCGAACCAATTTCAGCTCTTTGTTTCATCGATTTCACCGAATGAATTTTTTAGCCGGCCCAGTAAAGCATGAAATTTAGTAAATATGTATATGTATATGTTTTACGTATTTTATAGCAAACTTGTATTAAACCTTATACCAACTTTATGTTTAGCTCTATACTAACTTTATATCCTCTAGAATTTGATATTTTTACTAAGTTTTTTTTGAAAATTTCACTTACATGAAGCCCTAAGACGTGAGAAAGGTGAGGCAATGAGTCGACGAAATCCCTTGTTGAACGTGATGATTACAATTCTGTAAAGAAGTTTGTTTTCCGCACAACTCAGATGCCTTTAAGAAGAAGGAAAAGTCAGCTAAATGTGAGAATAGTGGAATGGTAAAAGGTTTAGAAGGCGAGATTTTACTGTGGGAAATGCCATTAGGATTCGGACTACTAATTCTGATTTTTCCAACCTCCGAGTTAGGTAAAGGATCATAGAGTACAGATTGATCCTGCGGAACAACTTTATGTGGGTTCCCAAATGAAAACTACAATGACCTCAACCGCATCTCCTAAAAACAGTCGAAGCTGTGAGTGGCTAAAGGTGAGAGCTCGCGTTTCGGGCAACTGGCGCGGAGAAAAAATCACAGAGAAACCCTCTCTCAATTCCTGCTTTGGGAAGAGCTTTTTTTTTGAAACGTATCAAAAACGCCAATTACCAGCTTTTAGCACCCGACGTCTGCAAAAAGTTGTTTCTGAAGGGAGTTGTCAACATTGATAGCAAAATCGCGTATTTTGTCAAATCGGATCGCAACCTGCTTATTTCTTTGCCTAAAAACAAGGGCTTTGAAAAAAGTTGGTCCTACAAGGAGTTAGAGGATTGTTTGGAGATGTAATGTTCGCATGTGCATTGAACAATAGACCAACAGACGATTTTTGAAGACTTCACCATTTCCGAAAAAGTAAACATTTTTTTAGTAAGAAGAAAATTTCATACATTTCAAAGTTCCTTACATTCGCATAGAATTCGAATTCTTAAGAAGATATGCTTTTGTAAACGATGTGGTGCGTAACTACTGGAAGCTTTCAATTTTTAAATTCACACCCAAGGAAGTTTTGGAAGTCAGGGAAAAATTCGGTAGAATCTGAAGAAATCTCTGCGATCTCAAAAATTGCTCATTTCTGCGAAACATCAGTTGGAAGAAGTCTTCTTTTATCGGAGACCAGAAAACTCGCGTTTTCGCTTTCTTCTTAGGTGATGCCTCAATTCTCGTCACCTAACAAGGACAAAGCGCTCTAATCCAAGGGTTCAACTAACTATATGTCTGGAGCAGTAGGCGAGTTTTTGCGGCAAATAGGCATGAGTGCTCATACAAGGGGGTCTTACCCCGAAAATTCTGAAGGGGGGGGGGGTGTGGAGTGAAAGTTTTGAAACGGAGTCGTAAAGTGGTAGCGATAAACTTGATAATACTAGGAAGTGGAGGTCTTTTCGCGACTTTTCGCTGCTTCATTTTTTTTGCTTCACCCAATCCTAGGGGCGGAAGTGGTGTAGAGGCAAGTGGCACGCATGCCACGCATCGAATCTGGGTCGTGCTCCGTCCGGGTCTTCCATCCCTCCGGGGTCGGTTAATTGGTACCAGACTTGTCTGGGAGGATAAAAACACTGACTTGTACATCGGCTGGCCCCCGCAAGTCATTGTATAGGCCACATCGCATTCAAACGCCACTACGAATGTACAAATGGAAGTAGAATGCGTGCCGCATCCCAAAAAGGGATTGATCAACGGCAAATGCTTTATCCTTTATCCTCAATCCAGCATTAAAGGACGAATTCACGATCAGAGGGAAAATCGAATTAGGAAGAATTCACCTGGTTGAGGGACCCGCGGAGCTCCTAAGTGTGCGAACTGAAGCACAATTTGCACAGGAGGAGTTGACCTCGTTGACCTATTAAGGTTTAATCCCGCGGCTGGGTCAGTGCACGCCCACCGATCATCTGATCACTCGCCGCAGGTCTATACGTGGCGAGTGATTAGATAGGTGAGAGAGCGTAGTGTTGAAGAGGGCACAGCGATGAGAGTCGCATCAATGCTCAAATCAACGGGCAAGGAAGGGGTCCCATTTCTCGGGTTCTGGGCCGTTTCTCATGGTTTTTCCTTCTTTCGTGTACCACTCACCATCCTAACTTAATTTGAAATGGGTTGCTTTCCAGCGTGAATTCGTCCTTTAACATATTGAAGTGGATCATGGTGTATTTCACGGTGACGCCAGACTACATTCTTTAACAAGTTTTCTCAATCATCGCTTTTTTTGCTTCGAAAAAATCGCTATCAAATTGCTTTTATTGACGGGAGAAGTGATCCTGTTGAAGGAAATTCAACCGGTCTTCTCCTTGTATTATCTTAATTGTAGCGGTGAACTTACGCATCGCTTAAATGCAGCGTATTCCATGCCACCGTTGTCAACGACCAAATCACCCATTTGTTTTTTATTAGCCATCCAAGGAAGAAATACATGCCGAGTCCCACGGTGAACATGACGCCTTGTACGACAGTCTGAATACGAACTGACTGAAGTGTTTAAAGAGGAATTCTTCATGGATGCTCAGCGAAAGATTGCGGATCGGCTATTTGATTAAATATGTATGCTTTTAACGCTTTGCGTCCACCTACTATGTTAGCAAAACCACTTGTTGGAGAGCCATGAAAAGCTCGACCTCGCCCACGCCCAAATGTACACCATCAAGGTTTTTTGCATTGGAGAGAGCGGTTGCTTTCGAAACCCGCTCTATGGGATGGTGAATTTTCAAGAAGTTCCGCCACCACAGTGTTGAACTGTGCTGAACGTCAGCCACGCTTGCGCACCCTGTAGACAGCCTTCGTAAGCACCCCTGAGCCAGCTCCTTGGGTTCGTGTTTAGATCAAAGAGGTGCCCATAGCACTTTCCCTGCTGTGCTGTGGCCTAGGCAGGTGGTAGGGAGGCACTATCAAGATGGTGACTAGGTTGAGGCTTTGTTGAGTTTAGCCCTCTTTATCGATGAGAACAAGCTAAGTTAAAGTGAGGGGTTACGATGAGATTGGGTTGGTTCATAGTGGAAGTGGAGATGCTGAATAATGCCCCAGTGGCGAAAAAAGCAAAGAAATCCGTCAAGAAGGCGCAAAATGGGACCTCTTTCTTTGCCCGTTGACCTCCGATAATCGACGAGCTAGCTCACTTGCGCATGTTGAACGCATAGCTGCTATCATCCCAGTTAACATACTTTGATTAATGACGCATTCCATTGGATAGTCAGGATACACACTCGAAGTGGAATATCTCATCCAAATGATAAGAACAATGATGCTGCTAACAGCACGCTAATGGGCGGAGCACAGGGAGGATTTGCAGCCCCGGAACACTGAATAAGCGCGCCTTTGGCCACGAAAAGGTTACGTCTTGTTCTTTGTGCCCCTACTGCTTCCACTCTACACCCTATCGTAAGCTCTCGCTTCAAGACGTGCAGGATGGATACACGACTGATAAAGTGGTCTCGGAAAAGATCGAATGGTGTCGCGGATGCGACGGTGCCCGTCTGGCGCGCACTCGTGCGCCCCCGGCATTCGCTGCTCAAATCCAATGCGCGCAATGCTGGCGCGCAATGCCGGCCCATTGCGTTATGGGCTCCGCCCCTTACGGTCGGTGCCAGCCGTTGTTCGCCTACTATCACCGCGCCGAGCGGTCGCGTCTCTAGCTGCCAGGTAAGTCATTGATAGATGTGCAACCCTTTGCAGCTGAGGCTCTGCTTTTAACGGTTACTACGTTGTCCCAGGGCTGGTATCCGGTGGCAGGTCAGGTCTTCACCGGGCAACGCGATGATGGCCAGCTAAGGCGAAGGGGCACGTCGCCCCTGAGTCCATGCTGGTGGAGCGCCTGTCATACCAAAGCCGATCGTGTTCCAAATGGAAATGGTCCCGAGCGGGACAGGGGTGAATACATGCAGTCAGCTGGCCTGGGCTGCCCTTGTGCGAGGTCGCCGAGGGAGATCAGAGGTGATGGTAAGTTATTGCGTGAAATAAATGTATTGTTTATATGCTTTGTTTATGTTCATGTGGATTTCGACCCTAATTTTTTGTGTTCATTATATACGTTGTTTGCGCGTTGGCAGTGGTTTGGCATCTTGGCTTCTAATCCAGGGGAGCTGCGGGAGGCAGTAGGGAACCCGTTAGGAACCCCATGGTCCCCGAGGGGTTGGTCCACCTCTCCTGCGGGGTGCGCAGGAGAGGTGTTGTGGGCCCGATGGAAAGTCCTCGGATCCGAAAGGTTCGAGGCGTCAGAAGTGCTAGGCAGAGTCCATCGATGCGGAAAAGGTTCAAGTCCCGTTTGCGACAAATGGTTTTTAGCCGGAGGCTATCTCAGACGGTCTGTGCTGCCTTGTGCAACGGTACTGTATTCTCTCTTCACGTATAGACGTATTCTAACGACCATCAGGATGTTTTTGTTCATCATTTGCACCCGCTCCTGGTGAGGTAGAATCTCATATCCATTCACGTCGCCATCCACTGTTGCTGGCATACATCAACGAAATAAATGTTCTGGAGCGGTTATCGTGCATTCGGATCCAATTTTCATAGAAAAGCCTGAGAATTATTGTGAAGTAGATCTATGCTGGTGGCAAACATTAAAAAATAGTGAAAGACCTCAGGTGTACTAATCGAGAAGTCACGTTATCATGTTCCTCTGTGGAAAGCTCAGATCGTCCGAGCACATTGAAAAGGTAGTGTGCTTCCAGTCGGCATATTCACAAAATTAAGGATGCCTCTAAAAAAGTTTTGAGAGTGGGGTAACTTTAAATTTTCTTATAAGAATGTCTGTAGCCGATACTGCTTCCCAAAAAATAGTGGAACTCAGTTCTAGAGCCTGCTGATTTCAGCGAATTAGGTAGGAAGTCTAACTGTGAACAGCGCACTTTGAGGGTGCTTCAATACTGTTGAAGCGAGCTGTATATACTCAGCAGAAAAAAAGAAAATCGACAGATCAACTGACCTGTTTTAATAGAGTTTTTTCCAATTTTCTTTTTGTCACTTGACTGGCACATGTGGTCATCTAAAGAAGTGGTATTAAGGAAATGTTTATAAGATAATTCAAGCAGTTTTGCTTCTCTGCTGAATGCATACTCCCAAGCCACACACTGTGCTGCCCCTTGTACGTTGCCTAGTTTTTGCTTCAGTATTCCTCTCTCAAGGGATTTTGGTACATTTAGGTATCATCGCCTCTGGAGAAATGAATTGAGCCGTTATGCTACTTCACGTCTTGCGAGTGCATTCTCCAACAAAACAGTCATGGAGGTGAATTGATCAATGATCAGTCGCGCAGGAGCTTTATCATGGGTCTACATTACTAACTGACCATCAGCGAGAGCATAAGGTGTGTTTGCTCTCCGGAATTACCATTTCGTTGACTGGTCTTACCGCTTTACCGTAATTTACTGTGTCAGGTGAAAGGGTCATGCAGTATGAAAGCTTTAGCGGGCGCAAACCCGCAATATGATTTTCAAATCCTCATCATTTTCGTTTCCTGTTTTTTTAACTGATTGATCAAATGGAGCCCCAATTTGGCGATAGCTCACAGTTTACGAATTGTGCTCCCAACGTCTTCACTCTGACATTGTCCAGTCAAGCCTAAAGCAATGCACAAATCCGCCTCTCTCCACTTTTTGGGTCGAAGATGGAACCTTGAGCCAACCAGTTCTCAAGAGTTTCTACTTGTTAAGAAAATTTTGTATCAAATAGCTACTCAAGAGATCTTTCAAAAACAGA